AACAATATAAATATACAACATTACTAACAGTATATCATATTTGCTGAAACTGGTGGGTTTGCTGGATCAGGATATAAGTTTGCCAAAGTTGGTATGCTATTATTTTTGAGAAGTACTAACTAATCATCACCATTCAAATTGCAGTAAATGAAAAAGTCTCCTAGGATATCATCTTCTACATTTTCTGCCCATACATTAACCTTTTTTGCCCAGAATACCCAGAATTAAGCAAAAACGTTATGTTGGAAACGATCATAAAAACGAAAATGGAAACTGATGATAAACTTCTGCACGAATAACGAACTTAGAATAAACAACACATTTTTTGACCACAAAGATCAACACAAATTTACATTTAATAACACCCGTGCAATAAGATCTATGATAGATTATATTATAACCAACAGAGATATACATCCATCGAAAATAATCGACGTAAGATGCCTCAACTCAGCAGATGTAGGTAGCCACCATAGACTAGTATTATGTAAAATAAGAATCATCCTGAAATACTTAACACCCAAAAGAGCGGCGCCAATATAAACAAAAATCAAAATCAAACGACTAAATCCAGAATCCACGGAATACTTGTACACAAAAATAATATCAGAGAAGATCGCTGTGAATGAAATATTAGAAAACGATAACATTAAGGAAAGCTGAGAAAACTCAAAAATAACATAATTAACGTAGCAACAGAATCACTTGGAGAGATGAAAGTAACGAACACTAACATATCAAACAAGAAAACACCATGGTTTAGAGAGAAAGTGAAGACAAAATGTAAAGAAAAGAAGAAAGCCTTTTTACAATACAAAACACAACACAAACAACAGACATATACCCAGTATAAATAAATCAGAAATGAAATGAATAAACAGTGAACCCTGGCAGAGCTTCTTAAAACAGATGGAACACGACTTCTACGGAACACAAAAAGAAATATGGAGAATGATCACAGGACAAAGAAAAGACATCAACGAACTAATAAAAACGAAACACATTCAGAAGGAAACATGGGTAGACTACTTTTGACCCCCTATTTGCTAAAGGTGACGATAATAAACCACCAACACCAGAGGTGACAACAAACGAAGGAATAAATATTGAGGAGGAAGAGCTAAAATAAGCATTAAGGAAATTTAAAAATAGAAAATTATCAGGAGACTACAGAGTACCGAACGAACTCCTAAAGTACGGAGGACCAGATCTGACCAAAGATCTATAAAACTAATCTAAAAAATAATACAACATAACAGAATTCCTCAAAAATGGAGATCAAGCATCCTAATACCTCTCTTTAAAAAGGAAGACAAATCGGACCTGGAAAATTACAGAGGAATTAATTTATTAAGCACAACACTAAAATTAACAACTAAAGTAATAACAAATAAACTGAATGAAATTATAACACTAATAGAATAACAACAAGGTTTTAGTTCGGGAAGATCATGTACCGACGCTATATTTATAATGAGGCAAGTGCAAGAGAAATCGTTAGAATACAACAACCCGGCATATCTAAGTTTCGTGGACCTGAAGAAGACATTTGACCGGGTCAAATTAAAGGACGTTATTCGCTTATTGTACGCAAGAGAGATACCTCTAGGAATAATCAAAACAATCAAAAATATCTACCAAAAGAACACAATAAAAGTAAAAGGGGAAGAAGAACTAACTGGCAATGGAATGGGACGATACTACTCTCTCAAAGTAAAGACGATGTAAAACGTATGCTGCACCAATATAACCGCCAGAAAATTTAACATGTTAATATCCCCAAAAAAGACAAAATGCATGGTTACAACATCAAATTTACTAAGATGTAAATTGGAGCTGGAAGGTCAGATAATAGAACAAGTGATGGAGTTTAAATATCTAGGCATCACATTATATAGCTACGGTAAGCTCGAAACGGAAGTGGAAGATCAAGTGAACAGAGCAAACAGAGACGTAGATGCCGAATAAAACAATATGGAAAATAAAAATATCGGGAAAGAAATGGAGGGCAGAATTTACATACAGTCATCAGACCAATATTGATATACGCGGCAGAAACACGACCTGACACAGAGAGGACAAAAACGATGTTAGAAACGGTAGAGATGAAAATACTTAGAAACATTGGTGGTAAAACATCATGGGGCAGAGCTAGAAGTACCGATATACGACGTAGATGCAAGGTGAAAAACATCAAGGACTGGGTAAAAAACAGAAGAGTAGAATGGAACGATCATATAAGCCGAATGACAACAAATAGAGTAGTAAACATTGCTAGAGACGGTTCCCCAATAGGAAGACGATCAGAAGGAAGACCACGAAAACGATAAAACCATAACTTACTGCAGGCACCCTAGACCTTAAGCGGCAATTTTGACGATTAGCAAGCCCGTGAACGATAAAGGTACACTCATCAGAAAACAATAATAACATTGTTATCTTACATTGCCATAATTTGTTCACAAGAATACGTTCTCTTATTAAAGTCGTCTTCCACGAGTTCCTCAATTGGTATTATTTTAAAGGAATGCATTTTATTTTGTTTTAGTGTTCAAATAATCGATTAATAACTTTTTTAATATCAAACATTGGGACTGTTTTTCAACTATAAGTATGTGGTTTTTCCATTTTACTAATTGTTTTCTGGTATACAGACGGTAAATTTGAAATTATTTTATGAAATAGGCGAGTAACGTCCATTCGAAGTCGCGTGTTGTCTTTATAACCAAACCAATCAATCAATCAATAAAACCATTGTTTTAATATGTAAATTAATGAAATGCAAACGACTATCATTCACGTTACAAATACGCTATTGTAGAACAATTGCTAAGTCACCTTGCGTCAATACCTTCGTTCCCCCAGTGCGACAGAGAAAACTGACGCAAAGCAGTCCCTGCATCTCTTTCTAATGGGCTGAATTTTTTGACCACCTGACCTAAATGACTAATGCGAAGATTAAAAGATTCAGCGACTGCTTCGAGTCACTTATCTATGTCGCGCTGGAAGAACGGTAATGTATTGCAGCGATCAGTATAAATGACCAATAAGAAGATCACGTTATCGATAAATCCGGACCATTAGACAGACACGCAGGGAATACCTTTCGTCAATTTTCTCTGTCGCACTGGCGGAACGCTACTGTATGAGAGAAGTCAGTCTATCTTGTATTATACATTTATGAGTCTATGTAATCAAAACTATTCTAAACCTGCTTTCAAAGCAGTAATTTTTTGTTAAAAGTAGTTGAGAATAAAATGTTAAAATATTTAATTAAAAATCTGTTAATTTTTCTTTTTCGTATGAATACATAGTTTGTATAACTGTGGCAACACTGGTTAGATAACTCGATAACTACTTACGGTTGTCATTAGTGTCATTTTTTGTTGATATAAGGTCTATATTCTTTGATATAAGGTTGAATGCTCGAATAAATTAACTTTGATAATATACAAGGGAAATATCGAGCACAGTATTAATTTAATCTTGCCCAAGTACTTACCTGAAGATGATCTAGTGATCGAAAGTACTTGGGCAAGATTAAATTAATACTGTGCTCGATATTTGCCTTGTATTCGCTGTGAGCCGATGAGTAGAGGGGATTTGACAGTTTTCACCAACGCTGTTAGTGGCAGTTTTGTGCATTTAACTTGTAAACATTCAAATAATGGCGAATATGGATTTTTCAAAAAGAAAAATATATGATACATGTAAAAATACTGGGTACAACAGTCATTGTAAATTTTATTAATTTCCTGTTGCCAAGCATAAAATAGTTCAAAGAGAAAAATGGATTATTGCTATCAATGAGAAAAATAAGTAAATAACCTATAATGCAAACAAGATATTTGTATGGTGTAAAATTAAAAAGCTATTATATTCCGAAACATTGCGTACATGCCCTGCATCAACTAAACCTTTTCCCTTTTTTGGTGTAGCTGGTTGAAATGGGATATCATGTGATATAGACTTAAAACCAGTATAATGTTTAATATCCATTTTGATAAAATTAAAACAAATTTAAGAGGTGGAGGCCATAAAACGAAAGAAGAAGAAGAAGAATTAAAACAAATTGATATCTAAGCACTAAGGCCTACGCACACAAAAAATAACTGAGCAAAAACAGAATAAAAATAAAAACAAGAATTACAACGTTACAGAGGTAAAGGTAACCTTTAACTAAAGAATATAGACGTTTTAAGCGCCTATAACCTTAAATATTTGCTTTAACCATTAAATATTTTTATATAAACTTCTTCTTTTTCTCAATGACCTCTTGCGTAAGTAGTCATCCAGTCGCAAGAACTTATATCTTAAATATTATAATTATAATGAATAAAATAACAAGGCGTAATTACTTTTACTATTAATTCTGTGTATTCGTTCAGTAATCAGTTTACCATAATATTTCAGTTCATTATCTTGTATTTTTAAATAAATATCTATTTTTCTCGTTTTGTCATATTTCATTTACACTGATTTTACAAGAAAAGTACAAGTTTCAAACCGCAAGGGAGCGCTACCAGCGAAACTCACGGCGAATATTATCAAAGTTCATTTTTTGTTGTTTCATGCTATATAATTTTTTAAAAGACATTTATGTTAAATGGAAATAACATAAAAAATAATGTTTTGTATATAATAAAAATCATTGTACAATCATCAGTAGGTGAAGAAGAAGGCATTGATATAAATTACATATCCATAGACATAACCTCTTTATACTATGAATAATACAATTACTTTATTCAATTTTTAAAGTGTTATATAAATTTTAAAAATACAGAAAACAGCTTCGCGCTGGTTCGCAGTAGAGCATAATGTGCCATCTTTTTATCTAGATACTTTTTTATTTAAAATTTTTGATAAAGTATAAATATTATAGTAAAGAAATATTTTTTGAATTGGCAACATTGGTTTTAGTATGTCTTCTCTTGTACTCTCTTTGTACGTCATTGTCATTGAGCTGATTGACCTGCGAATATAAATAACGTCATGTCATATGTCAGTGACTGTTTATAGTGTTTATTAAAAGTCTTGCTTTATTAAACATTTTTTGTTCTCTTGTATGAGCAATTGAAAAGAAATTAATAAATTTCATTTTTCTTAAGAAACGATTAAAAATAAGTTAATTTACATTTATGTTTAAAACTATATTTACGGATGTAAGAAAAGTATTTATACCACTATATTAGCAAACCATTCACTTATAGTGAGTACATACCTTGAAAGAAAAAGAAACCTGTTTAACTCTTTATTTTTGTGTTTATTGCTTTTTATTCAACTAACAAATAGAACCAGAAGTACATTCTTGTTCCTGAAAATTACCAGACAAAATCAATAAGTGAGTAGACACTTTTTATCTTGTTTATTTACGTCTAGAAGAGAAACGTGATAAATTGCAGGCATAGTAGTAATCTAATGAGAAAGTGAACTAATTAGATGAGTCATTAGTTAATTGATCGAGTTTTTCGAATTCCAAAACATAACCTTATCTGTAAAACCTGTTTTCAGACCAAATTGCCAGTCTGTTAGAAGTCTCTTCCCTGCAACTTCAATAGTGACTTCATGTTATTTATAAATTAAATATTTCTAATAAAAATGTCCGGAGCAGTATATCAACCCACAACAGTAACTTATGAATCAAATGGTCCTCATGATAGGTGGCAGGATAGGCCCATCAGCTATTTAACCTCACCAGGTCCTCAAAGTTCTAGAAGGCCACAGTTCATTCCTTTAGGCTTTCTTTCTGCAAGTATAACAGCTCTCTTGGGCGGGTAAGTAAGTCCAAAATATCTTATTTATTAAATTGGTTAATAGCATAGAAGTATTTGTTAACCCCTTAGTAGTAAATTTACTGAAAATGCAGGTAATATAGTACTTTTTATATATTACCTACTATATATATTATTATATATAGTAGGTAATATATAAAAAAACAATAAACAATTCAACAAATTTAAAAATCTGCAAGGAAACAAAAATTATTATTATTTAAATATATGAACATTTTTTATGGAAAACAATATTTAGTAGAGTGTATCACCTCCACGATCCACACGCAATAATTACGACTCTCATTCAATTAGGTATACTTTGAATTAAGGCTGCAAAGTCTGAGTCCTGAGGGATTTGCTCCTATTTGTCACGAACTGCTTGCTCCAAATCAATCATGAGTTCAAACTAACTGTGGTTATGTCGAATATGTCGTTCCAGAATATCCCATGCATGTTCTATTAGATTTAAGTCCGCACTCCTTGGAGGCCATGGTAATAAATGAATCCCAACTTAATCAAAGTAATCCCGTATAATTCTTACAGCGTGTGGACGAGCATTATCTTGCATCAGAAGAAAGTTTTCTCCAACGAATGGGGCAAATGGCACTACATTATCTTCCAAACATTGCTGAATATACTGTTGAGCGTTCAAATTGCCCCCTTGAATTGTAACAAGTTCTGTATGAGCCTCTAGGGAAATGCCTATATACACCATTATACCACCTCCACCTAATTGAACTCTTGGAGGGAGACAACATTGTTGGTAATGTTCACCAGCTCTTCTCCATATTTTAGGCTGTCCATCTGATGAATATCTGTTAATCTTGATTCATCTGTGAAAAGCACAGCACTACAATCATTAACACCCAAATTAAGCTGTTCGCCAGCAAAGTGTAAATGTTGCCTCCGATGATCTGCTGTTAATAGAGATCCCTTGACAGGTATTCTGGACCTTAATCCATATTCATTAAAGCATCTTTGAACAGTATAAACGGAAACTGTGCTTTATGGATATGATTTAATCATTGAACAAGCTCTGGTGCTGACAATGTATGATCGCGTAACGCTTGTAACCTAAGAAAGCGATCTTCAACTTGACTTGTGGTTCTTTGTCTACCTTGACCTGACCTCCTAGTGTATTCTTCTGTTTCCCGAAATCTTTGTATTGCATCAAACACTATACTTCGAGAAATTCCTAAAGCATTTGCGACGAATGCTCCGCCCATCATCCTGTAAAGCAACAGCTATTGCTTCTTCTTCTGGTGTCATAATTTTTTTAATGTAAGTTTTAAAGAGGAGACAATACAAAAACCTACAGCCGAACTTATAATTAGGCGCAGTACCACAATAAACTTAAATAATACCAATTCACTATTTCACATTAATAACAAAACACATGTATAAAAGTGTTGTTGTTCGCACAAAATATCTAAACAGGTTCAAACAAGAAAAAAAAAATGTTATCGCTAATATGGCATAAAATACAATTCAATCATTCAATCAATTAAACAAGTTTTGATCTAAACACCAACAAAAAACAAAAAAATCTAAGTGTCCAGTTAATTTTGCACCCCAGTGTATTTGCAAAACCTCGATCAAAATTAAAATTGTTGTAAGTATTCCTGATTTGAATAAAAGGAATTTTTATCAGTGTTTTTTAAATTTTATTTTCAAATTCATTTTCAGTCCATTCTGGTCCATTTTGATACCTTTTCAAACGCCAATATGCTGGTATAATATTCTGTTTGTTCCTAGTATCATAACCATGCTGATCTTCGTGACTTCTATAAAGATTGACATTCCTCTTCATGAATCGAAGGTTTTCTAGAATGTACTGTGCTGGTACAGTAAGAATTTCCAATCTCTGAAAAGCCTGACGGCAGTCTCTCCTAAATCCCAAACCAACAAGGCCCTCATTGCCTTTCTCTGCAGACCAAATACTCTGTGAGTGTCACCTGCATGAACCCAGACAAGGGTAGAGAATGAAAGATGTGAGTGGAATATGGAGTGATACATAGTACATATATAGTCTCCAGTAAGACGCATTTTGAAAGATTTCTCAAAATAAAGAGACCTTTATTTAGTTTCTTGGATAGGTTATTAATATGTGGGCTCTACTGCAATTTTGGGTCCAAAAGAACTCATAAAAATATAATCTAGCCAACTCCAGCATTCATATCACCCACATTTCTCATTGTGAAAATCACTTGTTTAGTTTTATTGTTGTTCAGAACCAACCTATTTGCAGCAAACTGTAGAACCCTCCAGCACATTTTCAATATTATCAGCTTCAAAGGCCACCTTAGTGTCATCTGCAGAGTAATAAAATTGGGCCCAGTATTGAACCCTGAGGTACTCCAATATTTAGCACACTCTCTGATAACAACTCCTCACCGACCCTCACAGCCTTTCAGGTATGATTTTGTGAGCTCAATACTCTCGGAACAAAAGTTATATTTTTTAATTTCTGCAGTAGGATTCCATGGTTGACAAAGTCATTTGGATTCCGTAGATTTTTTTATAAAATATTCAACCTGTTAATATTTAACACAGTCAGTCAAATGCTTTAGTATAATCTGATTAAACATGGATAAACTTATTTTCGATGTTATATTCAATTTTGTAATAAAACTGTATTTCTTCTTGAAAATCAACCTCTAGTTTAGTCAGATTTTGCTTGAATTTTTATGGATTCGATGTAGAATCGATGTTTTTATGTAGAATCCTTAGAAACAATTTGAATACCTGACTCATCAAACTGATCAATCGAAACTCATTACATCTTTTTTTACTTGGTTTCTGAAGAGTCAGTATAAATGTAGATTTTACTTAATCTCTAAGACTATATCCACTATTATAATGGTGTTAAATGGTTTTCATAGGATTTTTAAATTTTCTTTGTATACAAGTTTCAAGAAATCTGGACAAATGTTGTCGGGTCCAGCTGCTTAGCGTTTATAGTTTGGCTAAGATTTTTAATTTTTAAGTTTAAGATAAGTTTTCTTCAGATAAAAGCTTCAGAAAATCTAGATAAATGTTGTGTGGTCCAGCTGCTTAGCCGTTAGTTTGACTAGGATTTTAAAGTTTTCTTTGTTTATAAGTTTCAAAAAATCTAGACAAATGTCTGGTCGAGCTGCTTAGGCGTTTTTTAAATCCTTTCAGAACTTTTTCTAATTCTGAAATCATTTATACTTGGTCCCATGTCTGTATAATTTTAGCTACAAGAAAGGGTATCGTAGTTATCAAACAGATTTGAAATATAGTTTGTCCATACTTCTTGTATCTCTTGTGCATCAAGGGGAGTCTTATTGTTTTTATCTACCATTATTGAATATCTGTTTCTTAATTTTTAGTATGTATCCAAATTGGGGTTTTGATTTGTTCTTGACCTGCTTTTCCTGATTCATCTTTGTGAGTGTCAGTATACAGTGCCAAACCTCTGGCTTTCTTTGATTACAGCTAAACTATGGAGTATATAAAAAATGTTTTAAACAAAACTGATGTATATCAAAGACGTCTATGATTTAAAATTGTTTTCGATTATACAGGGTCAATCAGAACAATGGAATGAACCAAAGTTGTGTTACATTACAAACATTCTCTATATTAATGCATTTTTGAATGTATTTTTTAAAAACTTGAAGAGTTTACATGAAGTTTTATAGGCCTAAAGCTTTGAAATATTTACATGCTTATCATCTTGCGCTTTGTATATATTTAGAGAAGAACTATAGACTTTATGCTTTTGTAGATTTTTTATTAATAAGTTTTGTGTACCTAAGTACTGAAATGTAACAAACAAAAATTATAAACATATTCATCATGTTACAAAACTAATATTTTGTAACAATAATGAATTCATCACTCACAAACCTCATCATGTTACAAAATAATATTTATATACTAATAAACGTTATCAATATCCATATGGAAAGCCCATTTTAAAATCTACCTTAATAATTTTTAGCAAATAAATTAATTTATGATTGTTTTGCTTTCTAAGCTAAATTATATTTTCGGGAAAGATCAGTTAATTAACTTTTTAATGTCAGTACCTACATTCTGAGAACTTATAAAATATGCCATGAAATAAAAAATGTTTAATGTATCTGTCAAAATATTTATTAAAATGAAGAGTATCTATGTGTGTCACAAATGCTGGAAATATTGTTGGAGTTACAGCATATTTGTAACAAATTTTTATATTTCAAATATGAATTTTTTAACTGAACTGTTCACTAGTTTTAGAAACTGTTTACTAGCTTTAAAGATGTATAATCAGAGATATCCGCGCAGAAGACATCCTACAAAAACTTTTAAATCGCTTCGTTCCTTCGAGCAATATTTTAAACGGTTTTAGCGACGTGAATGAACAGACGAGTGATACATTTAATAGAGAATCCGCATATAAATACGCGCCAATTGAGCAATAATACAAAGTTAAATGCAACAATAAAGAACAAAGTAAAAAAAAATTCGCCCATTTAAAATTCAGGTGCACCAGGAATTAAATGAACATGATTTTCAAAGAAAAATTAATTTTGTATGTGGGAGGAAGGAATGTTAAGCCGAAATGTATTTTTTTTTTTGGAAAATATTCTATTTCTGACGAATAGACATTTTATCTCAATAGATTTATTAACAGATATACTTATCAATACACATTGGGCTGACGACATCAGGCGTATTATGAAAAATTGGTAACAAAGAGCACAAGATCTCAAAGTATAGAGTATATACTTATCAATATTACTCTGATGAAAATCTCCACTTACTTCGAGTTAGGTCCCAGAACAGATGGTCGTTGAAGGAGCCGTTGTTCGTGATTACCTGCCATCTTCTTGATAATTTTATTTACATCTTCCATCTCAAGGTCCTTGTGGATGTCGACATTTCTGATGTACCAAGGAGGATCAACGATGTTCCTTAGTACTTTATTCTGGAATCTCTGAACGCCTCATTTTGAACCGCATCCATCAAACATTAGATGCAAAACTAATCCCACAACAAGCAGGCTTTAGACCAGGTAAATCATGCACAGGCCAAGTGCTGAACCAAACAGAATACATAGAGGAGGGATTTGAGCAGAAAGAGATAGTAGTAGTAGCCTTGATAGACCTCACAGCAGCTTATGATACGATAAACCACAGAACCTTGCTAACTAAGATCTATAACACTGTGCTTGACTATGACCTGGTAAATATCATTAGATCACTGTTGTGTAATAGACGCTTCTACGTTGTGCTAAATGCAAAGAAGAGTAGATGGAGAACCCAAAAAAATGGCCTACGTCAAGGAAGCGTTCTGGCGCTGTCCTTATTTAACATATACACCAACGACCAACCAATGCACCCTCAGACTGAGAGTTTTGTTTACGCTGACGACCTTGGTATAGCCGTAAAGGGGAAAACACTCACACAAGTAGAGTCGACAATGGAAGGTGCTTTAAACATGATGTCAACTTAGTACAAACAAAACTCATTAAAGCCAAACCCTACTAAAACCCAAATATGTGCATTCCATCTCAACAACCAACTGGCGCATGAAAACTGAATGTTTCTTGGGAGGGACAACGCTTGAAACATACTGATAGGCCCAAATATTTTGGAGTGATACTAGACCGATCACTAACGTATAAATTCCACTGTCAGAGCACAAGACAAAAGGTCTCTACGAGAAACCACCTTCTCCGGAAACTTGTAGGGAGCAAGTGGGGTGCAAACCCCCAGGTCTTGAAGTAAACAGCTGAGGCCTTATGTTTCTCAACAGGGGAATATGCTTGTCCCGTCTGGGGTAGATCTCCACGCTCAACAAGTCACCACGGCGTTAAATGAAACATATAGAATCATTACCGGTTGTATGAAGCCTACCCCTCTATAACTACTGTACCGGGTAGCTGGATTCGCATCACCAGACGACCGTCGATGTACCTCACAATATGTGGAGAAGTTCAGGCAAACTTTCGGTGAACGTCACCAATTATACGGGTTTGACGAACCGCCAGGAATCTGCCGATTTAAATCAAGGAAAAGGTTTATGAGAAATGTCAGCGTAGACCCACCCGAAGTGTTCCCCCTACATCCAGAACGACCTAATGGAATGAACCTGGACTGGAGAACCTGGCGGACATTCAACCGCATGCGCACAGGTGTTGCCCCTGTTCAGAACAGAACAGAACCTCATTAAATGGGGCATCAAGACAGATAGCGAGGCACTCTGTGAATGTGGGGAAATACAGAACGTGGAGCACCTGAGAGTATGCAGACTTTGCCCATCACAGTACACCCTCGATGATTTATGGCTCGCAAATAGAAAGGCTCTAGACGTAGCCCGATATTGGGCAGAAAAACCATAGTCGGATCCAGACTCGAAAAAGTAAAGTAAGTCTGTAATCTCTGGATGATCTGGATATTACTTTTATTAGCACAACCCCAGAGTTGGCAACTATACATCCATACTGGTCTCAGTATTTGCTTGTATAATAGTTGTTTATTATGGGTGGACAAAACTGAATTTCTTCCCATCAGCCATTTTCTTGTAACAGATAAATAGTTCCTCACTTTTCTTTTTGATATGGGCTTTCAAGCGAAGTTTTACATCAAGTGTGATACCCAAGTATTTTGCAGTAGATGCGTGAGGTAATTGGGCATCATTTATTCTAATTGGAGTGTTTTGGATTTTTTTGTTTATAAAATTAACGTGAATTGATTTAGACTCGTTTAGTTTGATTTTCCATTTGTTTTGCCTAGTTATGGATTTTATTTATTGACAACTGTAATTTTTCTGCTGCTTCTTCACTGGTATCACCTACTGCTAGAATGGCAGTATCATCTGCAAAGGTGGCTATAGCATCGTTTTCTAGTTCAGGTGTGTTGCATGTGTATAACAGGTAGAGGACCGGACCTAATACACTTCCTTGAGGGACTCCTGCTTTAATTTCTTTTAAATCTGTGTAAATGTCTTCTTGTTTGATTCTGAAGTATCTATCAGATATGTATGATTGTAGAATTTCTGAATATTGTCTAAGCGTAAAGGATTTAAGTTTATACTGTAAACCTTCATGCCATACTTTATCAAATGCCTTAGCTACATCTAAAAATATTGTAGAGCAGACTTTCTTTTCCTCTAACGATTTCTCAATTATGTTAGTATTCTACGTACTTGATCAATAGTGGAATGTTTATTTCTGAAGCCAAATTGGTGGTTTGGAATCAGTTTTTTCTCTTGTATTATTGGTTTCATTCTTTTTAGAAAGAGTTTCTCGAACAGCTTTGACATCATTGGTAAGAGTGATATTGGCCTGTAAGAAGAGACTTCTGTTGGTGATTTCCCTGGTTTTGGTATCATTATTACCTCAGCTATTTTCCATAAATTTGGGATATATCTTAATCCAAAAGCAGCATTAATTAGGTTGGTCAATTTTACTATGGCTTTGCGAGGCAGGTTTTTAGTAATTCTCCAGTAATTACATTGTATCCTGGGACTTTCTTCAGATTTATGTTTTCTTTTATTTCATCAGCTACTTCTTTTGGGGATGTTGGTCTGATTGTCTCTTCTATCTGATTAGGCTCTATCCATATTTAATCATTAATTTGGTCTTCATGTGGTTTGAATGTATTTTCTAAATGTGTGGCAAATCTCTCTGCCTTTTGCTTATTGCTCCTGGCCCAACTACTTTCTTCCAGTTTAATGGGTGGAGAATGGATTACTGGTATTTTTAGCCTTTTTGTTGCTTTCCATAGAGAGTATTCGGTGCTGCTATCATCCGTCAATTCTCTCAGGTAAGAACTGATTGATTCATTTTTTATATTTTGAATATCTCTTTTAAGCGTTTGAGTTGCATTGTTCAAATTCGTTTTATCTTGGGGATCTCTGGTTTGTTGTCACCTCCTTCTTAGTTTTTTTCTCATTAATTAACTTTTTAATTTCCTTCGGATAGTTGTTTCCTTTTACTTTTGATACTTGAATCAGAGTGTTTTCCCATGCTGATTTTTGTATATTTCGAACAAACAACTCTGCTTCCTCATCTAGTTGTTTAGATGTTTTTAATTGTACAGATAATTCAATTTTTTCTTCAAGGGTTGATTTAAAACTTTCCCAGTCTGTTAATTTGTTGGTTAATATTGGATTACACTCCTTTCTAATAATCATGTCACTCAATGTGAGCATTATGGGTGAATGGTCTGAGTTCATATCCCAATATTCATCAATATCTACATAATTGGCCGAGATATTTTTAATGAAAAAATCAATTAAGTCCGGTATCTTGTTCCACTTGGAGTCCGATCACTTGGCCAATTCGTCGGTCTACCCGTTGATATTGGTTCACATTTCTGTTCTTTCATGGCTGCCAGCAACTCATTCCCTTTTGGTGTTGTCAAGCTTGATCCCCATTTATTGTGCTTTGCATTAAAGTCACCTCCAATATCTTTTTCCCATACTCTTCAGATATTCTCCATACTGTTCTTTTTTTAATGGAATGCTTAGGCGGGCTATAAATTGAACTTAATAGTGATTTTGTAATTAGTTTTGAGCTTGACATATACTGTGGTTGCTTATATGTGTTCAGTTTCATATTTTAGCTCCTCATAATGCTGAATATTATTTTTTATTATTATTGCGCTGCCTCCTTTTGCTACATTATCAGGATGTATCTTGTATCTAAATTTATGAAAGATTGTTTAGTGAAATGTGTTTCGGATATGAGACACAAGTCAACTTCTTCAATGTCTAGGACTGCTTGTAGCTCATTTTGATGTGGTAGCAGTCAATTAGCATATCCCTGTGTAATGGAAAGTAATTTTAAATTATAGACGTCTTTGTTATACCTCAGTTTTGATTGAAACATTTTTTATATACTTTTACATAGCTTAGTCACAATTAAAAAAGCCAGAGGTTTGGCGCATCCTGTATATAGTAAATCAAAGCAAGGTATATGAAGAATATTTTTGTTATGTTTTTTGTTTTTATCTTGGCATTTGCGGCCAGTATTACGTAATATCCTGATGTCTATTAAATAACTAATTAAATATAAATTTTTACTATAAGTCGTTAACATTCTTTTATAGTCCCTGATTAATTATAATATCACTTCCCTTTTAGTCATTTAAAAATATGACAAAACAAGTTTATTAGCTTCTTATCAGCTTCTGATAACTTGTAACCTTTTTTTTTTAATTTTTTTTTCTGTAAAATAATAAATGTCACATACTTTAATTGGAAACACCATACAAACTTAATGTTAAAATATTTATCTACCATTTATATCGAAAATATTCGGACTATTTTAAATGATTTCCTGTCAATTAAAAATTGTAATGTAGAGTGTAAATCTTTAAAGTGATACAATATATTTATATTAATATTTGTACAATTTGTCAGCGTTTGAGAGGCTCTCAATAAAATACATGATGTTTTCTTCATTGGAACCAATTCATAGGCTATTGATTATGTTAAAAAATAGGACTAAAATTGTACGTATGCATCTACAGAAACGCTGTTAAAAATTCCATATTCCATATAAAATTATATTTAACCTATGTTTGTACATTTATTTTTTCTCTCTAAAGAGTACATGAATACAGTCCGATTACAATTCCTAAAAACCTGTAGCATTTTCATTTTGTTCATATATTGTATGGCTTTGTGGGGGCTAATGCCGTTTTGCAAACAAGGAAATTCTTGATAGTAAATATATGTTAAAAATATATAAAACCGTATTGAATGTAGCACTAATATTGTCATATAAATCACTTACGTTTTGTATTATTTCAGTGTGTACATATTCATTATTGGAATACAGCATTACTTAAGCACAGCAGACGCAGCAAATTTTATTTACATAGTATTTGGACCGGTATTTATTGGAATAGGGATCTTTTTATTGGGTAAGTTGCTTTTGTATTTTAAATATTTATACAAACCTTAGACCATGGTCTAAGATACAAACATTATTTTCTGGAATTCAAATAAAATATTTAATTAAAAATCCTTTGTAATAGGTATATATTAGGCCCAAACGGGCTAAGTTAAAAAGACAAAACGTTTTCGGAAACCATGTTCCATCATCAGTGTCTAGGAGTACATGAATGAAGCCACCAAGATTAAATATGTGGGTAAAAACCCGATTACATATGTTTAATTACATTTAGTTTTAAAATAATGTTGTAATGATATAGGATTACAGAGTTACCGATGGATTTGGTAACATGGCGACATATGACTCCACGTTGAAGTTGCTAGTCCTGAGACGGTATGTCTACGAGGACTGTATGAGTGCAACTGACTACAGTCCTCGTAGACATACCGTCTCAGGACTAGCAACTTCAACGTGGAGTCATATGTCGCCATGTTACCAAATCCATCGGTAACTCTGTAATCCTATATCATTACAACATTATTTTAAAACTAAATGTAATTAAACATATGTAATCGGGTTTTTACCCACATATTTAATCTTGGTGGCTTCATTCATGTACTCCTAGACACTGATGATGGAACATGGTTTCCGAAAACGTTTTGTCTTTTTAACTTAGCCCGTTTGGGCCTTAAATATATACCTATTACAAAGGATTTTTAATTAAATTTTTAATACATGGTATACAGCCAACTACAGGAACGTAGATTCCTTGTGGATCAAATAAAATAAGTTGGAGAAAATGCCGGCATTTGAGATGGAATTAATTCCGCGTGCTTTTGATCTTCTACTTATAATACCGCCTTCATTCTCTGCGATCGTTAAGTGGACTGTATTATGTGTGTGTATATGTTGTACGTAAATAATACTATTCACCTTCTACAAGCTTTTATTTCTCTAAGTACTATAACAGAAACAGGTAGGTACAATATACGGTATACGTTGTCACACGAGTTGTTTGTTTCGCAATCGCGGAGACAATTTTTTTTATTGAAACACCATACTTCTTCCGCGAGAGTTTCTAACAGACAGGCTTTTTTCTTGGGACCTGTCGCCGATGTGCCGGGAACTGGTGTTTTTTGACAGGTTTTGAGTATCGATACAGGGTGGAGTGAATTTATTGAACAAAAGGAAATATTCTATTTTGAAAATACAGGGTTGTAAACAGAATAAGTTTACACCCATAAGTAGCATTGTCTACTTATATCTTTAGAGCTGTGTATAGTATGTTTTACATTTTTAAATGAACTGAATCAATTCTATGAAAATAAGACATAATCAGTCATGTATAAACCATTATATAGGGTAGGACCTATTAGGAAATATAATTATTTTTGGCATTGTTAAGGAAAAGTGCAATAAAAGCAGGGACATGTCATCTTTTGAACGTAATTGCTATCTATACTGGTATTGTATTACTTTTTCTCTATTGTAAAATGGTGAGGCGAGCATTAAGGAAGAAGCTTCACGTGTAGCGGTCTTCAATCGATTAACTGCTCTATAAATTCGTTCCTAGTCATCATAAATGTTTTAGCGTTAGTTGTTAATAAATTGATAAATAGCAATTTATTAATTTTCCTAGTACGCACAGACATGATACGAGAAATAAAAAAGACATATACTTTTCTAAAATTAATTATAGCGGCTCATTGAAATCATTTATGTTTAGAGGTTTCAAAGAATTCAATGAATTGTCTCATGAATTAAAAGACTGTAGGACAGTTAAAAGTTTTAAAGATAAATTAAAGTTTTCCTTAAAAAAATAAAGTTTTAATTGAATTGGTATTTTTTATTTATTTATTTTTATTGACTTTTTATTAGTTGTTGAACGTGTTATTGAATTGAATGCAATTTGATATTGATTTTGAGAAAAATTAAAGGTTTTACTTAGGAATATAAAGTGTTATTAGAACTGACAGTGAATGTACACAATATTCTTGTATATTTTTATTGCCTTTTTTTGTTGTTAAACATTTTATTGATTATTGGAATAAAGATATCTATCTATATATCCTTCTATATCTTTTCAAACAAGGTATTCATAGTTTAGAAACCGTAAGAACGAATAGAATTCCAAATTGTAATCTTCCGGATGAAAAGGCTATGAAAAATGAAGAAAGAGGAACTAGTGTAGTGTAGAGTTTGTTGGTACTTGCGATGATGTGGAATTAAGTAGCTTAGTCTGGAAAGATAACAAATTAGTTACGTTTGTATCGACTTTCACTGAGGAAGTTTCTAAAACTACTGCCAAGAGATACGACAAGAAAGAAAAGAGAATCAAGGAAGTAAGTTTCCATGTCTTTTATAAGAATACAACCGTCATATGGGCGGGTATATTGTTGGGCAGCAATATGGGACGGAATAAAATTATTCTAAGGAGTAAAAAATGGTATTTTGGTTGGATTTTTTGCAAGAATTGAGATGAACATAGAACTGGTGCGAAGATTAAAGTCGCGACGTCTCAGTTTAGAGCACAACTGACAGAAGCATTATGCAGAACAGGAGATCGATTCACGATTGCAAAGAGGGAAAGACCTTCAGGAAGTGAAACTAATACAACTAAAGAAGAGAAAGTGGCCATCACAGGTCATGCCAGTAAAGGATGTTCGAATGGTTGGAATTCACCATTGGCCTGTATAGTCCAAAAAACAAATTAGATGCAAATTTCCACAGTGCAATGGTTATACACATGTGTTCTGCGAAAAGTGTGGTGTAAGCACTTTGCTTTACTAAAACGAAGAACTATTTCAAAAATATTTATTGTTCCTAAATATTGTTTTGAGTATATCCTTATTTGCATAATTTTGTTTATAAACAAAACTTATATTTTTCTAAATAAAAAAATAGTAGTTCAGATTTTTTATTATTTTTTCCCATTAAAATAACGAAAATCCAATTTATAAACTTTTTTGTAAGGAAAAATAAAAAAATCATGCAGTGAAGGGTTAAGATATTTAATTGATTTTTATATTTTTAACATTATTTTCATTGTTTTACAATAATTAATTAATTTAAAGCGAATATTATTTTTAATCATTTCAAAATTCCACCCTGAGTTATTCCAATAGAACATAAATGTTACAGTTCATTGATATCAGCTTATTAATGAGATTAAAAAAATGTAAATTTATACAGCATTCTCATTGAAAAAAAGTATTAGGAGTGGCAGACTCACGTGAATCACACTCCATATTTATATTTTTGTTCCAAGAACATACAATCGAAAGTTGAAATTTCGGAACGTTTATGAATATTTTCAAAATGAGGTTAATTTTTTTTTATTTCGTAATTGGTTTCACTGTAAACGGCATATAATTTGTTATGGAGTTTTACTAATTTATCTGTAGATTTTACATATTTTACTCTAAAATATCCTCTAATACATTCTTTAATGGCTTTTTAGTATGGTTTCTTCGTATCTCAAGACTTCTCTGTTGGAGGAATCCAAAGGATCACTTGGACACTTCTGGGGGTCAAGCACTAACAGTAAATCCATCTACTGATCTACTGGTTACAGCACAGTATGCACCTATTTCAGAGATTGCTTATCGGCCATCAGCGCCATTAGAAGATACGGAACAAAGCAAACTGATGCCGCAGAAAAATAAGGATCTTTCGTAAGTTTTGTTAATATGTGTTGTTTATATTTGTTTTCACCTATGTCAATAAAAAATATCACAATGTGTATATTCATAATCATCATCATCATCTTCTTCCTAGCGTTACTCCCTCACTATTAGAGGGTCGGCAGCTTTGATCAGTCCTCTTTACCTGGTTCGATCCAGGACGTCGTCCGCAGTGCCAATGACGGTCTTCATGTCTGTGTTCAAGTCTATCGAGCCAGCGCATCGTAGGTCGTCCTCGTGGTCGGCGTCCTTCAGGGCTTAGCGGCATCGTTGTTCTTGTCACGGAGTTCTCGCCGCTACTCACTATATGTGGGTAGCATCCATCGCAGCTTCCTCATTTCCATGACCTGTATAGATAGTCTTTCTTTGCTATGACTGGCCAACATTCTGTTCTGTATAGGGCCACTGTCTGATAAAAGTTTTGTATACTTTTGCCCTGATTCGTTTGGGCAATCTCAGAATACTCCAGTCACTTGGCACAATTTTAGCCATATTGCGTTTTTGTTAACCACATTCAATTGCTGCTGATGGCAGAACCCAGATAATTATATTCCTCGCCTTTCTTAAGAGAAGTGAGAAGAGAAATGAAAGGCAGAATTTACAAAACAGTCATCAGGCCAATAATGACATACGCGATAGAAATACGACATTACAGAGAGAGGACAAAAATGATATAAAGGAGCGTCTTTATATACAGAACTAAGATGAGAGGAGATAGAACGGACCATTGGTGGACACCAATAGTGATAGGGAAAAGCGGCGATATTCCTGATAGGCATCGGACGAAGCTTGTGACGTTGGTGTAAAGAAGTTTCACCCAGAACACGTAGGCTTCTGGAACGTTATGTAATCTGAGGACATAGCAGATAAGATCACGCGGCACACGCTCGAAGGCCTTTTCCAGATCGAGGAAAGCTAGGTACACTGTTCTGTTCTCTCGAAGCCTTTCCAAGAACATCTTAGCTGCTCGAATTGCGTCCGTTATGAGTTGTGCTACTATTACTCTTTCCAATATTTCCATGGCGTGGCATAAAAGCCGGATTGAGCGATAATTTCAGCATTCTTCGACGTCATCTTTGCTTCACTAGATTAGCACAGTCGTGCTGGTGCGCTATTAGTTAGGAACTTTGTCTTCGGCAATGATGTTCTTAAAGGGCTCGGCGGGGATAACAGCACCGTAGTAGCCAAGTAACTTCCAGACTTTTACTGGAATGCCGTCGGGCGCCGTTACCTTACCGGCCTTCATCTTCTTTATAGTGGCACTCACCTCAGCATTGCTAATGTGTAGTACGGGTCGGAATATAGGTTCATATGCTCGAGATGTGGTCACTCCAACGCTGAAGGATGGTGGAGGGTCTTATAGCATCCTGAGATTTTCACTCTTAACGTAGAGCTGCGGTCATTGAATAGTCAACACCCTTACATAATCTAGTAGTAGTTTTTACTTCGTTTAAACGCTTATTTTACGTCAAAGTGACGTTACCAGTGGCGAAACCCTACAGACTAAGACTAAGTTGATTAATATTAAAAAAACCAAAATAAAATACATCTACTTTACAAAATGTAACAAAATGGAAATTATAGAAAGAAGTTTTTGCTGTTCTTCGAGTTTGGCAATTGCTCTTGTTTGTTTCAATACGCGCAAAATTTTTGATGAGCACTTTGCCACTTAACAAATCCCTATGACACTGCGATTTTACAGTACTACATAAAATGTAAAAATTAAGGTGAAACTATTTAATAGTCGCTGCTGTACTTCACCTGGCCGATGTCCTGGGTTGCTCGACGTCGAGACTTTGCGTAGATCTTGTTCTCTTTGGTAGATCTTGTTTTCACCTCCAGGTTTATCTCAGTCGGTGTAGAGCTTATTATAATATTTCTTCTTTGCAGCAGCTACTGCTCGCTTCGCGGCTGAGTTCTTTTGACGTTGAAGTTCGTACCCAGCAAGGTCGTTTATCTTGTGTTACACCTTTTCATTCCATCACCATTGCTTATCGTTTCCTGGTTTCATTTGTCCAAATATCTCACAGGCGGTTTTTCGAATCTGATTTTCCACACTGCGCCATAGCCTAACCACCGGCTGGTTAAAGTTGATATTTACATGTTCGAAAGCGATCTTTAGTTGGTTTATGTTTTCATTTAATTGCCACCACTTTATATGGGCTGGATCGCTGGTATGCGGTAGCTCGAGGACCATTGTCGTTATTATATTTGTATTCAGCGACCTCGAAAACCCATGAGTTTTGAGTGTCGACTGATTTAAAATGAAATTAACATACTCTAGGAGACGAGGTCCGCCCGATAGATCAAGGACCATCGTCGTTATTAATGCAATTTTTATTGTACCATCATGAATTTTATTCACAACCTGTACTGACATTTTTTCCGAATCGAATGTAAAAAGGTTCACAGCGATTCAGTTTGCTGTGAAAAATTGGTAGGTTTAGTGCTTCGTTTCCTCGCCTAATTAGCGGGAAACCCTCACACATTTTACTCGTAATGTGTAAATTCATAATGCTTTTAATTTTTGTCATTCTGATTTTAATTATAACGTATTCATTTATTATTTTCTAGAAATGAAGACACTGACCGCATGGTAGAAAGGGATCCCAGAATTGTCCTTCGTCCTCTTAATACAACAGAAGAAACTTAAAAACACTAACAATATTTTCTTCAGCTATTTAAACCTAGAACTTAGGTAAACTTCCTTTAAGACTTCACCAGTTCCAATTAGGTACTTAATTTTAGATTTAAGTATATGTAGTTAAGCAAACATTCAGACTTTTCTAATATATGTGTTCTGTTCCTGATATATTTGATCAATGTGATCAGTTCGTCAGTTAAAGGTGTAATATTATAGAGGCTTTCATGACAAAATTTGATATGCTGAACAACTTGATGAAAAACTTGAAAAATTATTATATTTTAGATAATTTACTGTCAAATTGAAGAACAATTAGTTTGTACTTGGTAAAAATGTCAAATGATGTCATATTTACCTTGTTCATCATCCTCAGTTTTTCTTCTGTAGTATCAGGAACAGTACATATTCAATGACATTACTGAGCTGGTTCTCGCTTTTGAGATTTGACAGACATTACAATGAGATTATTTAGTGATTTTTTTTATGAAGTTAGTCTTATCAGCCCATTTAGTGGGTTTTAAAACATCGCTTTTCGTTTACAAGTATCACCGACTTATAAAAAAGTATTAAATCGTAAATGGCTATGTCAAAAGTTCAAGCGGACTGGATAACACACTGTATATTTATTAGCCTTATTCGTGTCGCTTTTTCTTAAGTAACAAACGAATTGTAGAAATTTACATCGATAACTGAAGTTAACAAATCCTAATTTGTAAAACTGTACACGTTTTCTAAAAATTTTGAATCTATTAATGGTAGTTTGTTAGATTTTATATACTTTAAATTAGATTAAAAGTAATATTTATTATTTACTATAGTTAATGGTTTTGTGTGTAGCGATTGGTTATTAAGTTTTGTTAGAGAAATATAATGACTTTAAACGATTATAACTCAAAATTTATCATTTTCTCGCACAAAATAACCAAAATGTGATACACCTGATCTGTAGGCCATTGCATTTCTCGATTAAGCTACATATGTGCTAAAGGTATGATAATATAGGGTAGATTTTGAAAATAAAGGAATTCGTATGAGATTTGAAGAACACTGTTACTTCTGATTCTTTCTTTGCTTGGGTCGCTTGGAGTATGTCTAAGTAACATTTAAGGTAAAATGGAAGAGAAAGAACTAGAAAGTCCATCTGGTATGGACAAACATTCACTTATTTGAAAGTAAATAACCAGTTGCTCACCGAAAATCGGTTGTTAAGTTAACATACTTCTTTAAAAGTAGTATACAGATTTTTTATATAAAAAAAAACAGTTGATTCAATCTGGGTTTGTGCAATTAATAATATTCTTTGTTAAAAATCGTTTAGGAAAATCTGCCTGCTATTTTTTTCTTTAAAGGTACGTTTACACCTCTTGCTTATGCCAGTGCGAAACTTTTAAACACACATGGCTCACTGAGTTCTATAGTGGCACAACCGCAAATATGATGAGTTAATTGACCATAAAAGTTTCATTATATCATAAATGCCAGTAAAAATTACAATTTATGGGTAACAGGTCGATAGAAGAAACCAAATACTTGACAAGGGTTAGATATTAAATTTTTTCCATTGTATGAATTTCGAGAACTTTGATATACATATGCCAGTATTGAATTTAAGTTTGATAATGTTTTTGGCAAAGGCGGTCGTAAATTGTGGCACAAAGAGTTCATAAAATAAACGTTTTTTATTTTAATCATGTTTTTATTCGCATTACAGATATAATATATGAACACAACAATATTTATTTTACTAATAACAAAAAAAAATCTTAAAAATGATTATCAGTTATAAAAAAACCTCTACCGGGATAAAAACAACACAGCTACTTATCAATGTAATGTAAGTTGGTGTAAAATTCACTGTGGCCTTTAATATACTTTTTCTGGCAATTGGAATTTGATTCCGATAGACTCTATAAATTGCAATATCTTTAAAGGAGTAAATTTTGTTGGGATTTCTGGTACATATTTCTTTGAATAAGTTGACGGTTTTAAAATTAGATTCTTTAAATGAAGTTTGTCCAGGGAAAAATAGACAGTAAGCGAGGGCCAGGCAGGAGAAGAGACTCGTGGCTTTAAAATCTGCGGAAGTGATTCGGGCTCACATCGGTCGAACTATTCAGAAGCGCCGCAAACAAGATCAGAATTGCCATGTTAATAGCCAACGTTCGCAACGGACAGGGCACTTGAAGAAGAAGAAATGAAGTTTTATACAGGAAAATACAGGATTATCCTTTTCTACTTTCGGTATTGAAACATCACTTAACCTAAAGACTTCTCCTGCAGTATTAGTATTTAAATTGAAAGCAGTCTTTTCTGTTAATTTTTGTTAAATCAAGAAAATCTTCATCCCTATATTCGACTACCTTAACTGGTCCAACGAAGACTGTAGTAACTCATTTTTTATGTAATTGAGATAATTATAAAAATGTATTTACACTGTTACCAAAATTCATTAATCTATTAAATGGATGTTTTTATAGCATTAAGTGATACTTTTAATAATGATCTTACAAGGGTAAAACAGATTTAAGACAGAAATGGTCATAAGTGACTTTTGAATGAGTTACTATAGTTTTCGATGGAGATATTTTTAAAGTAATAAATACCAGAATTATTTGTTTCTTAACTTTATTTATATAAAATGCTACATTTTGAAGAAGCTACTGATATAATTTGCAGTTTTATATTTTAATTCAATTTTCCTCATCCGACTCTTCTTCGCTCTCAACTGAATCAACTTCGAGCTCGACTTTAGGAGGTACATAACTCTTTGAATTAAGATTTTTATAAAATCCATGGTACATTGTGGGTATTTTGCCGGTATTACACAGCCACAGTAATCCTTTTAGCTTTTTTTCTTCAATTGGTAATGGTGCATCATACAGTTTCGGTGGAAATTTGATAGTAGTGGAAGGCCGTCCTCTGCATTTTCGATTTAATTTTATGTCACAACCTCTAAAACCATCATCGAATTCGTATTTAAACATTATAGAATTTTGGTGTTCATGCGAAAATTTTATTTCTCGTATTTTGCTAACTTTTATTGATTTCTTTTCGTTGTCAAGTTTCCAATTCTCGGTATCAGTCAGTTTTTTAAAATTAAAAAAATTATCTTGGGACATTTCCGTAACATCATAAACGCTTCCTGTAGTTTTAGCCATTCTAATTAATGTAACCCACTGTTCTGGCACATATACAACCGATTGCCTTTTCTTTGCATTTTCGATAACAGCATGCATACTGTCACCCTCGTTCTGAGTGTGGCCTTTTTCCAGAAATCTGTGAACAATATCAATATGAAAATGAGCAGCAGCAAAAGCAAACATCGAAAACACAAAACGATTCCTATTTTGTCCCCACAGTTGTCTGAGTAGAATATTATCGTTTTAACACTTTGTTGTGCCTTGAGATCTAAAAATTTCCAGAGGCAACTGGCAATTTCATTAGGACCTCTTTTAGCCACCTGCTCGTGCCATACATAGCAGTAACCCTGATTATTTCCAACATCATAAACTGTAAAGTTATATGTAGAGTATTTGCTTTTGTAGTAAAAATCACTTACGTTAGACAAAGGGGTAGCTAAAACCTTTTGAAGGTCAAAGCAAGCCACACACAAGCTCTTATCATCTAGTGCAAGCTGTTTGTCTATGTCTTTTAAGTTTCTGATAACTTCTTTGTTTTTCATATGGGACTCATATTGTTCGAGCAATTTTGCTTTTTCAGCATCACTAGCCATATTAAAAACAGAACAAACAGTACACTGGTCCTTTTTTGGTTTAAAGAACCCAATATTGAACTGTTCATTGAAAATATCTCTATACTGGCGTGACGTGGCAGCTGTAGTGATGTTATTTTTTTCGCAATGCTCGTTGTACAATCGGTACATTTTCTGGATAGTTAGCCCTTCTTCAAGGTACATCTTCATCGTATTCTTACGGGTATAATGGGAAGGTACTACAGGAAACTGATTTATGTGATTTTTTACGTTGTCTATAAGTTCTGGTGATAGTTTATGTGGTCTGTTAGTGTGCTTTCCACGTTTATCTTCCTCTAATGATCCACCATCTTTCAGTTTCCTTAATGCTGTAGTGATCCAAGTTTCTGAAACGTTAAGGGTTTCCAAAAACATAGTTTTGCAAACACGTTGTTTTTCATTGCGAATGTAGAAGTAATATTCTCGAGAGTAATTTCTTCGAGACCGTTGTTCTGCAGTAATAGTTACTTGTTTTTTGGCAACCTGTCTCACATGACGAGCAATAAAATCCCACTTTCTCGTATGATCTTTTAACTTCCAAAATTCATTGAAAAAAAGGTCTCTATCTTCTTTAGCTATTTTGGTAGCACATTTTAGTCTACATGTGTTTGCGCATGGTGCACCCATCTGTCTTCCTTTAATTTGAATACCTTTTCGATTTTCATGTTCAAGTCCCAGGTTTAGACTTGTTTTAGATTTTTCATCCGCCCACTTACTAACGTCTCTAATTCTTTTCCTACTTACTCTCTCTATATTGCCTCTGCTTCTTCTCTTTCTATTTGTGGTTGCTTCAGTTATATTCTTATTAGGTTCAATTATTACTTCAGGGATGTTTTTGTCTTCTGTCGGAATGTAATCTGGGTCAGTATCAGAGTCTGCATGAAATGGTTCCTCATCGCTTTCCTTCTCAATTATTTCATTTTCATTACTATTGGCTTCATTCTCTTCTAAGCTTACTAAAATTAAACAAAAATGAGGTAAATGCCTACGTAATATTTTTTCATGCGGAATTTAAACCAACCTGTAGAACATTCAGGATTAATATCAGTCTCGTGGTCACCAGGATCCTCATTCGCCTTTTTGTATTTGCTTTCTTCTACAATACTTTCAGCAATATGTTTACCTTAAAAAATAAGTAGGTTTTTACTTTGCTGTTATTATTTTAAATAAAGTTTATTATAAATTTACCTTCAAAAGAACGATAAGAAATATCCGTTTCAGTGTTTTTATACGCTTTCTCAGCTAATTCCAATATTAACTCACTTCTGGAACACATTATGGCAATTATAACAAAACTAAACTTTTGAACATAACCTTAAACTAACGCAGAATACCGTAGTAACTCATGTTACGATACCTATGCTATCGCCTCAGATAACAACGAAGACTATTGTAACTCAAGATACGATGATTTTCTACGGTTGTTTTTCATAAATCGGAGATACTATAAAACTCTTACACGTAATATTGGTTGCATAACTACGTTTACTGAGATACGATTCTTTCCTGGGGAAGATATCATTATGTTTTATTGTTTTGCGCTCGTAACTCAAAAAGTGGAAAATTTGAGTTACTACAACATGGTGTTCCACTCTTCTTAGATGTTTTTATCACTGCTGAATATTGACCGCGTGTATATATTGGACACGACTTTGGGGCCCTCTTAATATTTTTTTCGATATGCGAATGAACATTGTCACCTTCCTTCTTTTTGTGGTCAGTAACTAAATATTTATGCGTTATCTTAGAATACATTTATTTTTTTGCTGTCCAGTACAATTGTCTGAGTAAAACACTATTTCAAGTTTTTCAGAATTATCATTTTCGGCTGTTTCTCTTAAAAATTGCACAGAAAGGCTTCAATTGTATTATATTCCATTGATATGGCTGGAACGTCTATTTTCCTGTACGTTTGATAAGAATGTCCAGAATTTCGGAGGCGTTTATTTCGGTTTTTTATCCACTGAGAAGGTTGGGCTTTTTCTCGTTTTCTTCTTACATTCTTGATCCGCTGTTTCATCGAGCTGAACATTATGTTTAACCTTCATTCTGTCTGTATTTTTTCCTCGAATTTTCTTTTCTGAATCAGAGGACGAAGATGAGTTATTATATTTGGATCCTTGACAGAATCATCCGACGAAAAGTCGGGATCTGAGGAATTAGCTGATGAAGTACTGCTGGAATCGGATGTACTATTCGATTCAGTACCGTCATCTTAGTTAACACATTCCACTGTGGATCCAACTGATTTACACGGTCTACATTGAGTTGAGTTAAATCTAAAAAAAGATTATGTCAATAAAAAAGAATAAAGACAACATCCAAAATACGAACTTTCCTTATCCATTTTATCTTGATTTAATTTATTTGCTATAATATTTAGGTAATTTTTCGTGTTGTTGACTGGTTCGTCTGAAAATAATTTATTTTTTATGTTATCTAATCTGTTTATTTTTTAGATTAATTTTGTAATGGGTTAAAGCTTAGCAAAAAAATCACAACCTTTCGTTGATATTGTATCATTATCTTGACTTGCTGGCCATTTCCTTTCGTGGCCTTTTGTCTGTAATATACAAGTAAACTCGTGATTGTTACAAAGTAAATAATTTATAAAGCTAATATTACCTGATATATTAAAAACAGTTTCTGTACGTTTTTATTGGATTTTGTTCTATTTGTTTCAGTGTTTCCGTATTATCAAGTTATTACCCACGCACCAAACACACAACCACGTAACCTAATATCGTATAAAAGTAATTCCGACGATAGACCCATTAAAGCGAAATATCAGAAAAAGTAAACCTATACTGCCACAACTTTGTTCTTTCATGGCATAAAGTAAAATATTTTAAGTAAATTAAATTCTATACTGATATAACCTTATATTTTGGGAACATAAATAATATGCTTTTGTCAAAAAATTAATTTCATAGTGGCGCAACTTTTAATGTGCCGGTATAGACTAAAAAATAAGATATTTTTATTGAAAGTTATA